ATAATATCCCGGCTATTTCTTTACTGAAAGTATCAATTTTAATCTAAATTAATTACTATAGATTAAAGTGTTGTAATAGAGATGCTAACTGAAAAATAGTAATAAATTATTAGAAGACAAGCTTTTCTATAAGTATAAATTTTATTAATCTAGATTTTTATCTCTTTTATAATTCTTTTAGTAAGGAGATAAGTAATAAGATAATTTAGAAATAATTCTAAATAAATTATTAGTAAAAGTTATAAAATTCTAGAAAAATCTAGATATTATAATAGCTCTTAGATTTCTCTTATAAAACAATATTATTCACACGCTAAGAATCTATTAATATTCTATTTTAGAATATAATATATTCTAGAAATTCTATCTAATACTAATAAAAAGTATATTTTAAAAGTTTAGTATATAGATTAATATTTCTTAGATAATTCAGTATTTATTTAATATATTTAGTATAGATTATTCTATTTAATAAAAATATTAGAATATTATCTAGATAAGCTATATAGTATCTATCTAGAATATTATATAGAGCTATATATAAATAGCTCTAAAAAGTAGCAGGTATATTAATAAAACTAAAGAATATAACTAAATATTTATAGTAACTATATTATATATAAAATATAGTTTTCTATTTATCTTTTTTCTTAATTTAAATTTAATAGTATATATCTTATATATTGATTTTAGTAAAGAACTTTATCCCGGATAATCAGTTTAAAATCTCTAATATAAAAGATAAAGAATAATAATTCTTGACTATTATTTTATTAAGTTCTTAGTAATCTATATATAATCAGAGATCTCTATTCTTTTTTAATATAAATAAAATTAATACTCTAGTAGAACTTTTAGAAGATCTGATTTATCTATATTCCAGATTTTTATTAATATATTTCTACAGTGCGCGAAGTTCTTTCTGGAAGAGAGAATAAATAGATCTATATAGTAGTATTTTATTATTAATAAGATTAATTATATAATCAGTAGTTTTCTAAAATAATATAATTTAGAATTATTATTTTAAAAAAATATCTTTATATTCCTTTAGTTCTAATAGAATTTTACTATTATATTAGAAAGGCAGTATTATTGATTTATCTGATAACTAAATATCTTTAGAGATTTTTATAACTATAAATATATATATATAATTTTAGAAAATTTTTATAAAATTTTTGATATTCACTAATTTAATAGATAAAAACCTAAACCACTATTTATAATTCTATAGTAAAAGATAAATCTTTAGATTATATAATATAATTATTAATAAAAGAATTAAACTTTCTTTAAAATATAGATCTCTATTAATTACTATATATAATCTTATAAAAGTTTATATAGTTTCTTAAGAATCAGTAACAGTAAGTAAGAATTTCTATATACTATATATAAGAATATTAATTTAATTAATTACTCTAATAATAGGTACAGTAAGTTAGACTTATTTAAATTAATAGATTTTAGTAAATTAATAGCTAATAATATTAACTTTAATATAGCTATTAAGATTAGTAAATGTTTTAATATTATTTTATATTTAAATAGAAATATAAAATTAAATAGTAATCTTTACTAAGAAATATAGAGCCAGGTTTATAGAATCTATTCTAATTTCTGATTATTTTTTGATTTACTATTTCTAATCTATATTTATTAAACTAATACTTTCTTATCTTTTTAAGAGTATTAATTAGTAAGATATAAATTACTATTATATTAATAGTATTATAATATATTCTCTTTTTTATTAATAGGGTTCTTATAAGTTTTCTTTAAGTTATCTTTTAAATTTCAGAATCTCTTATCTTTACTAATATTTCTTATATTCTTTAAAATTTCTATTATAATTTTATTATATTTTTACTTCTGGCATGGTTATAGAAGACTCTAGTAATATATAGCTAATATTACTATCTTATTATAAGTTTCAGAAAGATTTAAATAATATTCCTAAATATACTTTATTAAATTAGAAAAAAATTTTATAAAGAAAGTAAGAGCTTATTCTTTTTCAGATTATCTTAAGAAATATTATTCTAAGATATTAAGATAGATATAAAACTCTTATAAATCTTAATTATTTTATTACCAAGCTTATTAGAATTAATCTATTATATTGGGTTACAGTATTACTACATTTCTGATTAGGGTAAGAGTCTATTTAGTAAAATAGAGCCATAATTCCTTAGTATCTTATCACTGTTCTTATAACTTTTTAGTGAGATAACAATACTATCTCTATCTATAAATTAGAGATATATAAGGAAGAGCTATAAGAATCTTTTAGTTATTTTTTTTAAGATATTTTTTAGCTACTTTAAAAAAATATTCTAGATTAAGAATCTATTCCTGCCTTTACTGTAATTTAAAATCAAGAGTAAATTTAGGAAGATTTTTAAATAACTTAGTAATATAACTATTCTTTAATAAAGTTAAACTAAATTACTGATAATTTCTTAATAGTTCTCTGCTTTCCAGTCTAGTTTTTAATTATCAGATTGTTTCTTAAAGATTCTGGATAGTTTTACTGTTGTTCTGATCTTGGATTCTAGAACTCATTTCTAGAATAGTCTAAGATAAAGATTACATCTCTTTCTTATAGATTCTTGAAAAAGACAATATATTACTATTAAAGAATCATAATAAGAAAGCTATTAATATCCTTAAATAGTTAATAAGAGAAGAATCAGAATTGTTAAGGATATCTACTATTCAGGATAGAAGACCTGTCAACTAGGTAAGGATATATAGGCTAGAAGGAAGAGAGATCAAAGGCAGGCAGTAGATACTATTCAGATAGAAGACTGATTCTTGATCTCCTCCTACTACTAACTATTCGCTAATTTATAGCTGAAGACTCTGTACATAAAGGGTTCAGATTTCCCGTTGAAAACCAAACCATTGATGGCCTGATGTTCCTCATCGGTGGCCGATTGTCCATGCACCTGGGTCAGGGTATCCTGTACGGCCATCAGGCCGAATCACCATTCAATCTGTGACAGGGTGTATTTAGGGACAAGGTTACCTGTCGCAGTTAACTTACTGTTAGTAGGACTGGTAGTAGGGGTCTTATTTCCGGTAGCAGGGCAGTTTAGATCAGTGGTCAGTCCCTTATGATACTTAATATCATCGTTAATCTTATTCAAAGAGTGGATAACAGATCTCATAAATATACAGAACTTATTAAATATTTTATTACTTTCCTGGTAGACAATACTTATCTTACACACCTTATAGATAAGGCGCTGATTCAATTCTATCTTATATTAACTCTCAGGTAACTCTGCTTCTCCTACCAGGTATAGAAACTTTGCCAAGAATTTATGGAAATTATCTTCTACTTTTATTATTAAGTTACGCAGCTCTGCTTGTGCCTTGATCTGATAGTAAAGATCACGGAAAGCTCAAGTTAAGATATTAAATATCTTATCAATAAACTAGTAAGGATTTATAGTATCTTCTTGTAGATAGGGATTTAACTGCTGACAGGCTAGCCTAGAGATATATAATATTAGATAAGCCTTCTTTATAATCTTATTATTATATTAGTCTATATTAGCTTTAAATTTATTATATATCTTCACTAACCAGTCTTTAAACTTAGGGTTCTTGCTATCAGTCAGGATAGGAGGATCAGGAACTTTCTCAGATTTACTTCTGCTTTCTGGTTACAAGGATTCCTGGCAAGAGTTGGTTCCAGATTTATGACAGTTAAGTTATTAAGCAGCGAAAGCATTATAATATAAGTCTTATTCTTTATAGAGTTTAGTAATCTGGAAGTTCTTAATAGTTAGCTAACTGATCATTTTAGTAAGTTCTTTCTCTATATCCTGGATGCGGGTTGCAGAGCCAGTGAGATCCTGAGGATTCTGGAAATTCTGGGACTCCTTAAGAGAAGTAATCTCCTTGAGATAGCTGCTCTCCTTTACTATCAGGGTACAGAAGTATTCAAGAATATTGTTATACAGTTTCTTTAGTATCTCATGACAGTATTTCAGGAAGTCCTCGAGTGAAAGCTCCTCGGGCTGGTTGTTTTTACCTGTATTTAGAGACAGGCGTCGGTTCGCGTCGCGCGCTATGGCAACTGGGTGTTTAAGGATTTCAAAGATAGGATCAGGGAATTCAAGAGGATAAAAAAAAGAGAGTATAAAGAGAAAAAGAAGCAATTCTAATGTAACAGCTCAGGCCAGTATAGATAAATTAATCTTATTGGGTAGCTCTAATACAAGAGAATTGCTTGAAGAAGAGAATATCCCACGAGCGAAGCTCTGAGATATTGTCTATCTTAAATATAAACAGAACAAACAAGAATCATGCACTACTTGCTGATATTCACTATGAACTCAGCAGCCTGTATAGTGACTGCGCCGTCACATTGCCGACATCTTGAAAATCCGTTTGCGCCTCCAGCAGTGTGTCTTGATCCGGAATATGGGCAATTTGCTGGGCTTTTGTCTGGACATTGACCCCTCCATCTATCAAGCGGCACTAGCTATATTAGACTATTCATGCTGTCAAAAATTTCCCTCTTGATGGAAAAAGTACGGAGTAGAGAACTAGGACTAAAACGGGAGTATGGGATGCGTTGGCCTAGGCTCGGAGAATGCCTAGAAAGGCGGATTGAACAAGATGGTGCACAACCGAAAGATTACCGGGCAAGGTAGAGTCATCAATCTTTGAACTAACGGAGACACTACTACTTCCCTATATTTGCGTCCCTGGGGGGCGAATCACGAAAATCAACTTCGTCAGTATGAGGGAAACCCAAAACTGGAATGTGAACACTCGATTGCCAAAATGGGAAAATCCCAAAGAGACCCGCAACACCCATAACAAAGAAAAATCCTCACCTCTACTCACATCATGTAAACTTCATTCAGAATGATCAAGAATTTCTTGATTATCCAGAATGCTTGAAACTCATTATCTCCCAGCATTTTCTTCAATATCAATCGGTGTTCTTGTCACGCCAATCTTGACAATGACGGCCTATGCGGGATACGCTGGCCTTTTTCCTTGCGGGAGTGCTGTCTTATCTTTTCTACTTTCACAAGGGCGAGTATCACCTTTATGTTGTTATATATATCGAATGCTTTTTGATAGCAATTTGTTCCACTGCCTTCCTTCAGAATTTTCGCGAAGGGAGAGAATTCTTTCCGGCCTTCCTCATCGCCCTCAAGCTCAGTGCATGCTTTCTTTCTGGGATATATTCCAGTTTACTTGTTTGTCAGTCTTTTTTTTATCCACTAAATAGGTTTCCTGGCTCTTTTCGTGCCAGGATCTCAAACTTTTGGCTTACATTCACGTTGCGAGCCAGAGATGGATTTCGGCAAGTACAGAGACTACATGACAAACATGGATCATTTGTTCGCCTTGGTCCAAACTACATTTCTATCACGTATCCAAAAGCAGTCAGTCTTGTATATGGAGCTGGATCAAAGTGTACCAAAGCCGCTTGGTATGACATGACTAAGCCAATGGTCTCTTTGCAGACCTTTTGAAAGAAATCACTTCACGATGAGAGGCACCGTGTGTGGAGCACAGTGCTTAGTGACAGAGCGCTTCGGGGCTATGAAAAGCGAATGCAGATATACCAACATAAGCTATTTGACCATATCGTACCATTGAATGGTCAACCAATCAATGTCACCAAGTGGTTTAACTTGTATGGTTTTGACTTCATGGGTGATCTCGCATATGGGAAGTCCTTTGAGATGTTGGAAAATCAAGTCTATGGAGCAATCAAATTGCTGAATGATACTATTGAGTCACTTGGCTTTGGCTTCCCTACGTGGTTCTTCAGGCTGATGACGACGGTCCCGGTCTTAACTCGAGACTGGTGGAGATTCATTGATTTTTGCGCTCGGCAACTAGAGCACCGGCTTAATGTAAGATCCATCTCAAGAAAAGGATGTCCCTCATCTGGGATTATCGATATAAAAGGGGGGAATGTACTGACGATCGCTAGACCCCTACGGCCATCCTGGATATCATGTCAGCGCTATCCGCACCTCTGAAGGGCAAGAAGCTGACAGACAAGGAATGGGACCTCCTGCGAGGTGATGCACAACTGATTGTAGTCGCTGGCAGGTGAGATTGACATAGCTTGATTGCCATACACCATGCCTATACTTATCCTGCACAGTGATACTACTGCAACCACTCTATCCGCTGCCACTTCGAGCTCGTAAAGCATCCTGGGCAAATTTAGCTCCTCAGACAAGAGCTCATGCCACAAATGGATCCATCTGGCGAGGTGCTGAATGAAAAAATTGCCAACTTGAAACATTTGAACGCAGTGATCAATGAGACACTCTGGTTACATCCCCCTGTCCCAACAGCGCTGTAGCGGAAGACCCCCTCCGAGGTTTTGGTCATTGACGAGATATTTGTCCTTGGAGACACCACAGTGATATGTCCACAATATGTTTTAGGAAGAAGTGAGTATCCAAATCAATAGGTGATATCTTACATCTACTAACATTATTTCCAGGTGAAGACCTGTATGAGGATCCCAATGAATTTGTCCCCGAACGCTGGATAACTTGCCCAGAAATGATTCAGGAGAAAGTGCTTTTGCACTGTTTTCTACAGGTCAGTGTTTGTGATCCTTGTGACTCCAAAATAGCTGACTCATTTTTCCTGTGTTTGTATAGGCCCGTATGGCTGCATCGGTAAGCCTCTGGCACTTCTCAACATTTGAACGACCATCGCGAGTCTGGTAACCACCTTCGATTTTCCATTAGGGCCGGGTGAAGATGGCCAAAATTTGAGAAGAATGCCAAGGAAAGTTTCACAATTGGCTTCGGAGACTTGAAGATTCCCTTCAAAAACGGGTTTGATAGAGCTTACAGAGCTTTTAGAGGCTCTTCAAGCAATCTGGCAGCTACCTGAGAGCAAGGTCTTGACCATGATTGCCTATGACGAGCGATTTTAAATAGTTTGGCTAGTTGAGAAATTTATTGAACTAGTGTGCTGCGGGCCTGACCAAATTATCTAGCCAATTACTATAGGTAGCTTCATCGCGTGGTCGTCCTAATTCTTCGGTGGAAAATAAGCTTCAGAATAAAAGAGCCGTAAGCAGACCACGTTGGGCATGTTTGACCCTGAAAATGGTGCTCAATTATAATCCATACCCGGGAAGACTTTAGCCACGTTGAGCACGACGAGAGAGCTCTCTGCTTCTCTCTTTCTCCCTTCACTTGTTGCTCCGTATTGACATTGGTAGCATACAAAAGCCACGATAATCTTTCGGCATCCTGCCCTTCAGCGTGTAAGAGTTCTGTCTTTGCCCGGACATTTGGTGATTGTCTATGGTGTGCCAAAGGCCACGTCCGGAGTATCCCGATAGATATTACATTGAAACTAATACGAACTGTCTTACACGGTCATTAAGCGCGCCCTCTAGTTAGTCGATAATATATAAAATGGGCCGAGCCCGCTGTCTGAGACAGTGGTTTGCTCCCGAGCACGAACAGAGGTCTCTCAGCATCGGTTCAAGTACAATAACCTACGCCTCCCAGGAATAAGACAACACAACCGCCATTTCAAATTTCAAGTTACTATCATCTTCGAAATATTTCAAACTCAATCTTCTGTTTGGTTACAATGCCGGCACCACGCGCAGTGATAACGAGCCATAACCCCGATGGCAGCTCAAAAATTGCTTCAGGTGCCATCGCAAAAGCCCGGCCGATGGGCAGCAGCTCAGCAAGCAGCTCCTTCTCTTGCTTCCATGTCGCTGAGAAGGTGCCTATCAACGCGATGGAGCCACTTCCAGTGGAGTTTAACGGCGTGGTGACCCCCCGGGCGCCACCTGCAGGGTTGATGTTCGGCAGCATGGACTTTCAGCCAGGCGCTTCGACCTGCATGCATCGTACAGCGAGCGTTGACTACGGCACAATTCTCGAAGGGGAAATTAAGCTCATTCTCGATGGAGGGGAAGAGACTGTAGTAAGATCCGGGGATGTTTATGTTCAGCGAGGCACAAGCCATTCGTGGGTGAACCGGGGGCCAACTGTTTGCCGCATGACTTTTGTTACAGTGTCAAGAGACGAAGGGAGCCACATTAAACTAAATGGATGTGGTAAGAGGTTAAGAGAAGAGCGGACTTAAGAGCTACCTTATCCCCGCGGGCTTTTGATTTATTTTATCTCCTTCTTAATCCCTTTTTGCTTTTATTTTCTTTCCTTTTTCTTTCACGGACCGGAAAAAATGGCTCCTTAATGATTGGTTGAGTATAGGAGGACTCGGGAATTTCTAATTTCGGAAAAAACGACCGTATAACTTGGCATATTAGGTGCTTACCATGCAAGAGTTAAAGTCGACCTGTATCACCAGTAGGGTTGTTCTCGCATAAGGTTAGAGCTGACCGCCATGAAAGGGCAAGAAGGACCTTTTGCTGCCCGATTATTACTATTGAGATAAGATGCTTTTAATTGGATGCGGTCCTACCCGAGTCCCACTATGTAGCTTAAGTATATGAATGGAGCTTCGCTATTAATGGTTTTGATATGTGATATAGGCTGCGAATGCGGCGACAAAAAGTGTAGCAATACTGACTGACTCTTTTTCCTAAATTATCCATACTTTTGTCCTCTTTCTATCCGAATTTGGGATTTTACTGTGACCTGAGCCAGTTCCCTCCGAGTATCGCAGCAATACCCCGCTACTATCTTCTATAATACAAAGATACAGATAGGTATTCATAATATCTGCAGTTTTCCCACTCTTTTGCTCTTCTCTCTACTTGATCAATTAATTAATGCATGTCAACCTATCTCTTCTAAGACTCCACCTTGGGATGGGAGATCGTCTTAGCGGATACCGTGCAATACTGTTTTAGGTTGTTTTGACATAATGTCACTCCACCTTAGCTTCACTAGTTGGAGGACCCTGGACAGCCTCGCCATAATGATTCGCTCTGGCAGAAAGCACCCAGAGATCTGCCGCTGCGGCTGTAAAAAGCCCCGTGCGCCGTCTCGGGAATTTCCGAATCTAGGTAAGTTTGGTAGCCAAGACAACAGAATACATGAGCAGACCATGTTTGGCCGTCGTTTCACTGAAACCACGGTAAGCACGGAATTTAGATGTCCTTACCTCCGAGTGTTCTGAATAACTCCGATATCAGAATATCTTGATATTAAGCGCACGCAGATGCATATTTCATCGAAAGCATTCTTCCTCCTCGCCCTTTCATTACCTCCGCGACGAGACCTTCAACAGAAGAGAAGCAGCCAGAACTCGAGAAGGTGCCGTCCAGCGATATGACTTCTGCCAAGGAAGCCAACGAATCCACAATGACTGCCGGCGAAAAAGTTACCTCTGACGAACGGGAGCTTGTTGACTGGAACGGTGACGATGACCCGCAGAATCCCCAGAACTGGTCTCTAGCTAGAAAATGGTGGCTGGTTGGTTTGGTATCTGCGGTAACCTTTAACATGTGTGTGATGTTTTACTTCTGTTTGAGCTGAAATTCAAAAATGGAGCGAGGCCTGACATTTTCCAGCTCTATGGCTTCTACGGTGACCGCGCCCGCAGTGCCCTTAATCATGGCGCAATTCCAACAAAGCAATGCAGAGCTTGAGTCTTTCGTGGTCTCCGTGTATATTCTGGGGTTTGCGTTTGGGCCATTAGTCGTGGCTCCCCTAAGCGAACTGTACGGGCGGTCTCTGATCCTGCACATCACGAATGTCGTTTTTCTCGTCTTCAACATCGCCTGTGCTGTGAGCACCAATTTAGCCATGTTCACTGTTTTCCGCCTCATTGTTGGGTTGATGGCATGTACACCTTTGACTCTCGGGGCCGGCTTCATTTACGATCTCATGCCACCGCAGCACCGCGCGAGAGCTTTGACAATATGGACGATGGGCCCACTGCTGGTATGTTAATGAATTGCCGCAAAATTTTCCTTGGAGGCAGAAGGCTGACACGATGTGGCATGAATCTAGGGGCCTGTTTTGGGTATGATCGATTTTCTACGAATTCACCCACGAGGCGTGATCTTACTAATAACGCTGCAGGTCCTGTCATCGGAGGATATCTTGCCGAGGGAGCTGGATGGCAATGGGTATTTTGGCTTGTCACCATACTGGTATGTTGTTTATGTTGGCCTAAAAGGGACCCGGTTGAATAACTGGTGGATTAGTCGGGCGTCCTAACAATTGCATGCTCCGCATTCGTCCGAGAAACCTACGCACCTGTCCTGCTGATACGCAAAGCTGCGGCGCTGCGTAAGGAAACCGGAAACCGCGGGTTACACTCGAAATACGACAGTCAAGCGGGCGTATTTGATACGTTCATACGTGCCATTGTCCGCCCAACGAAGATGCTCCTGTTCGCGCCTATTGTGACATTGATGGCGTTGTACATTGCGATGAACTACACTTACATGTATTTGCTCTTTACAACGTTCACGTACGTTTTCATGTCCAACTACAGCTTTAACGAAGGTGAGGCCGGTCTTGCCTATCTTGGAGTTGGGATTGGATTTATTCTAGGGCTGCTGATTACCGGATTCTATTCGGACCAATACCTCAAAAAGGTGCGAGGTAGCCGCCCTGCGGTGCCAGAGGATCACCTTCCACCAATGGTCATCGGCGCCATCCTTGTTCCTGCGGGTCTGTTCCTTTATGGCTGGACAACACAGTATATGGTCCATTGGATTGTGCCCATCATCGGCACGGGTATCTTCGGATTCGGAATGTTGCTGGGCTTCATGCCAGTGCAGGTCTACCTTGTTGAAACCTATACCATATTCGCTGCAAGCGCCATTGCCAGTAACACGGTCGTTCGATCTTTGCTCGGCGCGGTTCTTCCCTTGGCATCTCAGAGATTGTATGACAATCTCGGATACGGCTGGGGCAACAGTCTCCTTGGGTTTATCGCTGCGGCGTTTATCCCAGCCCCCATCTTTTTGATCAAGTATGGGGCGGCGATACGATCCAACCCGAAATTCCAGGTCAAGTTGTAGGATTGACCAGTGGGCAGATGTGTAATTTTCCTATTTGACTAACCTGGCACTGACAGATTCTGTGTGTTGTGGATGATACTTGGGAAATAGTTGAATACTTGTCGATGTTGGCCTGCATAGGATAGATAAATGAGTCAAGCTTCTGCTGTACAGATTTTTTCTTTTCTGGCTTGCCTCATGTTTACTTCTGGATGCCCTGTGCAGTCCTCCTTCCTCGTCCGCCCTGATGGCCTGTTGAGAGCTTGATATTACATTCATGCTCACCAAAGAGAAGCTCAGGAAAGACTACGTGGTGGTTGAGCAAGAAATGGAAAACGAGGGAAATGAGCGCATCGGATGATAGATAACAGAAAGCTTGGAGTCAACCGAGAAACAGAAAACCAAACACCAACCAACAAGAGGTTTTCATGTCCACAGACCTTAATATCTTACTCTATCTCACCCTCGCGACATTGTGCCCAGGTACAACAATGAAAATTACCTCGACCCTCTCGCCGACACGAAACCGAAGAGAGGCTTCTTATCCCATGTGACGAATATATTCAGGTCGGTCCAATCCTCGTTCTCTTTGCAATTAGTGATATCGAAATGCCAAAGGAGCTTGACAATCATGAACCGCATTTGGTGTCAGGCAAGTCTATGATATGAAATCAATGTCCAGATTCCTCATAGAGATATGGAGATTGGCTCTTCTTACTTCTTTCCGATAGAATTCTGAAGTCCCACAGAAAATGGCTGGAAGACATCTTTCCGGTCGGTCACGAAGGCGTTGTCGGATCCAAGCTAACCTTCTGGTAAGTATTCTTCAGCCCCGCTAAAATTACTCGGCGAACGGTTGGCGGCGTGGTTGCTCAGACAAACGGTTGTCTATAAAGTGAGTGTTAAGTAGTGCGTCTTCAAATAATGAAAGCGACGACATGGAAGTCCTAGTTACCTTTCCTGTTATTCTATCATTGCATACCTTTCCCCCCTCTGGCGGGACAATCCTGGGCAGACCAGCAGCAGAGGCAGGGTAGAGACGCATTGATTCCGAAATATATGCCCCTAAGTACTCTAATCGAGCCATGTTGAGCAGAGTTATCTCCTTGTCTGTTTGAATATTATCGCGAATCTCGGCCATACGCCGCTTAAGAACAACGGGTTCTCGTAAAAGAAAGTACGTAAGCCCGCTCAGGGTGGTCGCGACGGTTTCAGCACCACTGATCACAAGACCCAAGGCGTTGGAGTGCATCTCTGGAATGGAAAGGCGCACGTCCTCTTTCCGCTGTAACACGAAATGCCATGTATCAGGATTTTCTTTGCCAGTCCGCCGAAGACGTTCATTAACAAGTTCTGCAGAGAAATTAACGTGAGACTCGAACTGGGGACGTAAGCCGCCGGAGACGAGCTGCTCTCTGAGCCTGCCAACAATAGACAGTTTCATGACTCCGCGGACTGTCATGAACCTGAGACCTTGGAAGATGGTAGTCATCCAGGTAAGGTATCTCTCATCATCCAGCAAGTGAAGAGATTAACTGAATGTTATCTCAGGCATCATGTCAAATGCTGTGAAGTTATACACTTCCACAATATTGTGTTTGACCGATTTTGAGCCCATTTGATGGATGCTACCATTGATTATGGACACCATTCGGTTCGCGTATCTTCGGATTATATGCTCTTGCTCGCGCAAGGCCCGATCTGAGAAGGCATGCGAGAAGGCCTTTCTCATTCTTCCGTGCGTGACATGATCGGCAGTGCTAATCTGCACTACGCCGTTGGGCATCTCGCCCATGAAGTCGGGATCCTAGACAAAATCCTCCTTTCCATGATAGTATACGTCTTTCCACGCCAGGGTATTGATATACGAGAGTTCGTTGGGCCCCACACGAACTACCTCCCCATATTTGAGACACAGCTCCTGATTATAATAATCGTATTATCTTCTTAGCACCAGTGGAAGGTCACTGGCGGCAAAATACCATGGACCGGGATATTTCCGGAGAGGATGCAAACACAGGTTGTAAAATGCATAAATAATCTGCCATTGTTACACTTAGATCCCTATATTGCTGCTATACTTGCTGCTTATCGCGAGTCTACTCATCTGGATGCTGAATAGCACTGCTAGTGCTCCAAAACACAGCTCGTTCAATGAAGCCATAGCCATATCCGTGAGATTTACTCGGATTCGAGGCCGGATTTAATTCAGCCGGAGTTGGTAAGCCCTTGCAGATTATGATTTCGCCCTGTATTTGTTCCAATAAAGTTGCTTCGCATGTATTTTGGAGAGTAGGTAGCGTAGAAGGCAAAAAGGAAAAAATGAAGAAAGAATGAAATCTCTCAGATCTGGATCTGCCAGACCTCATATCATCTCATCCAATCCAACCACAGCGTTATTACTCACTTGGGAATTGATATGAATCTATACGAGACCACGTGAACCTAGTGGCTTGGCCGGATCACCAACTTCAGCCCATTAGTAGATAATGAGAAGCGGTCAAGATAGTCGATAGAGTCATCCATAGAATTGAGTATCTATCGGAATGGCATCCGGTCCTCAGTAGGCTACGTACGTGTAGCTGATACAGCATCATTCTGCCTGTCTTTCCCCTGAGATCTCAACACCTGAGATATCTATACGAAGCATCAAGAAGTTGATATTTCGTTGCATTTAAAGCCTCATGTATTCTCTCTGGAATAACAATCAATCTTCCTTCGAACGACAACACGGCAGAGTGCTCACCGTAAGCGTCCCCGCCTTGTTGAGAAACCAGTGTCCTCTATGGAGGAAGTTGAGTCGGTTAGTGTTGTGGAAGAGCAGACTGAGGGTGCGGAAGGTCCTGTCGGCCTGGGCCCCTGTGGTGGGAGACTCCTTTGTGTACAACTCCGTTTTGACCCCTGAGCTTTCAATGCCCCCTCGTCTGAACTTGCTGCCCTTTCCCAACAGTTTCTTGCTCGCCGGGCTCACGCCCTGGATGTAGTTGAGGTGACGAATGCGGATCTTCGTGCTTTGTCGAATCGGTTGGAGCAGCTTGCTCCGGAGTCGGTCCGTCGCTAGGGCCTAAAACGGCTACGGGGCTGGTTCTACAAAACGTAAGTTCTAGAAATGAGTGGTCGGGTATACTGAGGCAAGCAACCTCAATTAATCTGACCATTGGCTTTTCTTCCTTGGACAAGGGATATTTCCGAACTTTCCCCGGAAACCCCGCACCAACGGGACATAATATAGGCGTTGGCACGGACAGAGGACCGTACCAAAGATCGCTCGGCAGAATCCATCGGTGGTTACGGCATTTTATGCCCAATATTGCAGCTAGCGTCGCAGGACTCGGATCGGCAGGCGATGGGTTTACGATGTGCTGCAACTCTTAGCCACAAGCGGCGATACGCCCGAAGCACCACAATGAGCTGGTGACGCGAAGGAAAGACCACCATCCCCCAAGATAAGTTTGGATTGATTTGAGGAAAAAGGTGTGAATATTTGCTTTAAGCCTGTGGAAGAGAGTTGCAATGCACCATGGCATTTTTATCATTGTAAATTAAGGCTGTAGAGAAAGTTTCCCATATATTGGTTAGTTCACTTCCATCCAACCTTGATATTCAATATTCAGGGATTTATAGAATTTCCCCTACGTCGTATTCAGAGACCTGATATTGCGAAGAGGTGGTTAGGTCACTAAACGAGACAAGTATATTAGGAATCAACATTATTTTAACTTACTTCACGGGGTTTGGGTGTGGGGTGGAATCCTCTTCAGAGACCTATAATGAATGACCTTTGATTAGATGAAACTAGAATGTAATTTAATTAAACTCAACTTGAAGAAGCGGGAAAGTAAGCCAGGCACACGTCCAAGGTTGCTCTAGACCGGACGACGGAATAAGGGAAGAGGGGCGGGATAAGGTACCACACCCTGAACCCACACCCTGGACCCACCCATACAGGTCCACCGAGATCCCACCCCGAAGCTATAATGAGAAAAGCATATGTATGTATTTCACGCACAATTGTGTGCAGATTCGGCTATCCTGTGCATTCTGTACATGGGCATGCCCGGATCCCCCCCAAAGAAAAGATGACACTACTGTTTGGCTGCGTTCCACAGACCGTTTGGGAGCAGAGGTATTATTTACTATATATACCTCCTTGCTTTCCTATCACTCCTGCATCTTCACACCCTTCGTTCGCGATCGCTTGTATTTAAGACTCATCTATCATTACCACATTGCTGTGTTTCGTTGCACTCTTTGCAAAGATGCTGGCGTTCCGTGGTTTTTCATTGCTATCACTCGCCTTGTTTGCCAGTACAGTCCCACTTGCTGCCAGCCAAGCCCGGCCTAGCTATCACATCACCCCTGAAACGAAATGGATGAATGACCCCCAACGTCCGTTCTTCCTCGGGGATGAATGGCATTTCTATTACCTTTACAATTCCGACTTTGACAGCTCAAACCCCGGTTCAGGCGGGACAGAATGGTATCATGTCACGAGCACCGACATGGTAAACTGGACTCGCCAGGGTGTAGCGATCAAGAAATACAAACCCAACCCTCCCAAGGGCGTGAACCTGGGTGACATCGAAACTGGCAGCGCCGTAGTGGATAAGGACAACAAGGCTGGCTTTGGCAAAAATGCCGTCGTGGCAATTGTCACACAGATGGCGGATGGGGTGCAACAACAGTCTCTCTTCTATTCAACCGACAATGGCAACAGCTTCGCCCCTTACACGGGCAATCCTGTACTGCCAAATCCAGACCCGAACGCGAAACCCGCATTTCGAGACCCCAAGATCTTTTGGGATGGTGAAGCAGGCAATTGGGCCATGTCTCTTGCGGAGGGTAACAGGATTGGTTTCTATACCTCCCCAGATCTCAAGGCCTGGAAGTATACATCCTCGTTCACTCCGAACACTGGTGTCAACCTGGACCCCCTCGAGTGCCCAGACCTATATCAGATCGACCTAGACGGGGATTCTAAGAAGCGCACCTGGGTCCTGGCCGCAGGTGCAAAAGGAAGCACCGTGTATTGGGTCGGGAAGTGGGACGGCAATGGCTTCACAGCCACAGACGCGAAGCCGCAATTGATGGATAACGGGCCTGACTTCTACGCCACGGTCAGCTGGGATAATCCAAAGGATATATACGGCAGTCGCTATGCAATTGCCTGGATGAATAACTGGGAGTATGCAGCTTCGCTACCTTATTACGGGGACTTTGCTGGTCAGACCAGTATGGTCCGAGAGGTTAAGCTCAAGACCATCAATAATTCGCCTACCCTTGTTAGCAGCCCAATAGTAGGGTATGAAGGAATTTTTGGCCCTGCCAAATCCGTGAGTAACAAGACCATTACAAAGGATCCGAAATCTGCATCTCTGCCCAGCGACCTAACGGAAGATGCGTACGTCATCCGCGCAACGATCTCCAAGACAGACAGTGACGACGGCAACGAAGTCTGCTTTCGCATCAAATCCGACGGGTCTTTTAGCACGACCATTGGTTATAACTTCAAGAAGTCCCAAGCGTTTTTGGTGAGGGATTCCGACGGTTCCGCGACAGATTCCATGCCATCGGGTCCGAAGAAGGCATACGACACTGTGGCTACGGCACCGAATCCTTCGGGAGGAAACACGGTCAAGCTGGAGATGTATGTGGATTCGAACTCGGTGGAGGTGTTCGTGGATGACGGTGTGGATGTGCTATCGGGTCTTATTTATCCGAATAAAGCGGCGAAGGGGGTTCTGGTTGTGTCCGATACGGGAAGCTTGACGTTGGTGTCGTTTAGTTATGCTGGGTATAAGGCGTAGCTTCTAGCTATGTCCGATACACGAAGCTGGATGTTGGTGTTGTTTAGTTATGCTGGGCATGAGGCGCAGTTTCAAGCTGTGTGTACGTACAATGTCTATCCACTATGTGCTGGAGAATGGCCAGAGTAGAAACTAGTCAAGTTATTGTGCCGCCAGACTGAACTAATAGGAATGGAAATCTGTTTTCGCAGAAAACCTATATTCTTCGTTAGCACAAGACCAAGTGGTGATATCGATTCAAGTCCAGAGTATGTACTTGAGAAATATTTAAAAGAGGGAGACTTTCATCGCTGATATTCTGGTGGTTCTTTTCGTATTTTATCACCAATAATGTATATACCGGTGCGGATCTCAGGATATATATCTTGTATGTCCCTAGTCAGTTTAAGGCGACATGAGTCTGTGACTGTACATCCTGCTACCGGACGCAACCTATCGCCGAAAAGCACGCGACGAAGCTCAATCCGAGAATGTCGCACCGCAAAGCAATGAGAATACAGACAAGCCTATATTTTACGTACTCCTTATAATATCTCCCCCGGCAACTTGACGAGAATAACTAGTGCCCCTCCACGTAGCCTCAAGATGATAATTGAGTTGTTTCAGAGAGGGGACTCTAGATACCGTGTCTTGTCTTGTATTACTAGATTGATGCTGATGGATTCCCAACACTTCACACACTGTACATCAGCTTTTGGGCGTTATTTGTGAATGAACACAGATCTGCGATCACTTTGGATGACCACATTAGTAATAGCTGTGGCTACATTTGGATCTGCACGCAACTGCTTCATTGCGATGGACGTCTGTGGTGATTCTCTGAGGCTTATGTTGACGGTAACAAAAAGTGGGTTTTTCCTGTGAGGTTGAGACACCTGTGTTGAAGAGGTGACGACGGCGGGTGGTTACGGTTGGCAGCTACTACTGCAAAAAGGTACCGCAATGGCCTTTGGTATGGACGGTGCGGGCCAGTCCCTGTGAATACTATGGTAGATTCCATCTAAACAGGAACAGAGCCAACTAACCTTGATAACGGGCCAATAGGACACATTTTTCACTGCAGAAAGAGCGATTGCGACGCTAGCTAGTACTACAGGCCTCAATGGCTCAGGTCAACACCCACCGTTATTAAAGAATGAGTATGAAAGTGACTTACTGTTGCCAAGCAGGTTGCAGCCAACTGATCCATTTGAGCAACGGCCTAATAAGCACTAAACAAAGTTCCTCAGTGTCTACATAGAACTATGGCATGATTTCTGATTAGCAATTATGTTCACTTGCTGTTTAAAATAGTTCTCCCCTTACGGAACAATAAAGTGCTGTCGAGCGGGGACGGTATATATTAAGCCAAGGCGTAATTCAAGGGTAACACTCTCTCATACCCACATATTTCACTGACAAAACCAAATTACTTGTCATTCCTGCATTCAGGAAGCTGTTGAATCCTGTCCCCAAAAGTCTCCGTGTGCAAAGGATCTCCAGCATATTCATCGCTTTCTATGGCCCTTTGGAAAAGCATGGTGGCGACCGCACCAACGCTCCCACCACGTTGTAAGAACTGCCTAGAAGTAGGTGGCCACTCGCTCGCATCACGCAATGCCATCGCCACATTTTGTTCTTTCGGAATAATATTTCTTCGGAGGCAGGTGGCGATATGGCTGCAGAGGTTCATGAATCCCTTCCTCATAGACTTACTAGACTTGGGATTGTTCTGCACATCACGCGGGAGGAAAGTGAGACAGGTATGATTTGATCAAACCCAGAACTTCCCCTCATCAATGTCTTCAAGAAGAAGATCAGACTATATGCTTACCTGACAATCCAAGGCAAAATGCATCCGGGGACTCAGAAATTCGGAGAGGTATTGCCTGCATGTGCATCCATACTTCAGGCGTTGCCAGTCGACGCCGGTCACTTTGATACCGCCATCGAGAGAGATAAAGCATACAACAGCTGTGTCGCTGAATCCAGCGAACTGATCCGAAACGTCTTCAGTCAACCCATTGAAGCGACTTGTTGTCCTACTGGCCTCGAGATTTGTTAGTAGAACATCCAACGGAGTCTTGCCTTGACCATTGCGCGGTTGGAGTAGCACTTGAGTTCTGCTCAGAATCCACTGGGCCCTATTCGGCTTGACTTTGGCTGCAGCAAGGTGTAAAACAGTGTTTCCGTGTGCGCCTGTAGAAGTCCATCGCGGATCATCTCCGGCCGCGTCGTCAAAGACCTGGTTAAGAACCTTTATATAGTCGTTGTCGGTGGACTCCAACGCATTTTTCAGGTTACATCCCACCTCAGGGTCTAGTAGGCTCAACGGAAGTGCTGGAATCTCGTAATCGTCGTCTGCTCCTAGGTGTTAACTTGGGTGTTCTAAGTCCGAGGCGAGTCCAAACCAAGCAGACGAGCCGATTCACTGAAAGCCCAAGGACCGCCAGAAACGTGTTGGAATATTCCTGTCGGCCAATTCTGCTGTTTTCTTGCCGGCCGCCGATTCCCCGTTGATCTCACATTGCACTTCGCTATTTAGAACATCAGGACGGGCAGTAGCAACAAAACCTCGAGTTTTTTCCCTGACTCTTTCCAGCATAGCTCTCACAAGTCTGCTGCCCTGCCCAAGCTGGCGATACTGCCTACCAACGTCCAAGGCTTCGATCAAAAAGATGTTGTCGTCGTCGAGTCTGGCGCTCCAAACACCAGAGCCCTTTTTAACCGGATGGTACCTGAACTCAGGTTTCAAACGATCATATCGGTCCAAAAGGTCAAAAACCAGAAAGCATGTTTTGTCTGTTGGCCCCTCCGTAGCGGACCGAAACTTGGCGCGGATGTTCTCACGTCTGATTAGTTTACCATCGCAGTAGTCAACCTGTTTGTCACCTGAGTTGCAAGTGTGCTTCCCCGTCGCTGTCTTGTTAAGACTTTTATTGTCAAACTGAGTGTGGTTGCCCGTTAATGAATGATCTGTCAGAACAAGATGAATATATATATATATAGAAAAAAAAAAAAAAAAAAAAAAAAAAAAAAAAAAAAAAAAAAAAAAAAGACAGCATGCCATTATGAAAGAACCGTTGGCGATATCTATCTAATTCCTAGGTTAGTAGCTATCGTCATAGAGATTGCTGGGGTTCTCAAATTAGAACTAGGGAAGAGAGAGATATGTCTACTGCGGCCAAGGAATTATGTCTCGTCCTAAGAGTCTTAGGGATCTTCGGCCTTGGCCTTTCAAGATTCAGTAAAGTTCCCTCCGTCCCAGGGTACGTCCGGACCAAAAGCCGAAACCCTGCCACCCAGTCAGCATCTCGTGCTACCAGTTTTGTTATGAATAGATAAAGGGTAGCTAAATCCCTCAGCACGTGACAAAGCTAAGGATGACCTTCGCTATTGGCGAAGGGTTTTTATTAGTAATTTAGTCAACAGGCACGCCCAGGATTCAATCACCGAAACTCCACTTTCGGTATTTGGTGGTTGTAGGAATTAAGTGACCAACCATCATCTTAACCGAAAGCTAGAGGCCCACCTAAAAGTGACCTAATGCAATCTGTAGTCCAAATAATATAATTACGGTCGATCGTAATACCGTGGCGACTGCGCTCAGGGTTGTCACCTAAACCTATAGGGTAAAAGCCAAGGGCGCGCCAGAACTCAGCACAAGACTTTCCCACAGTGGTATCTGCACTTTTTTCGCACCCTAAGGTTAGTAAGTTAAATTCACGCAACGTAGCCATACACCGACAATTTCCCGAAGAATTTCGGGTCCAGCCCCGGCTATACATGCTATAACTATGTGTTAATCTTCGCTATTCAGGGAATGAATGCATAGTCCTCGATTATAACCAGACTGGTCACCGCATATTATTCCGCAGGGGTTCCTACTATGACATGAAGGTACTGACTGTACCTATCTGCGCTGATCTTACCATCCATGGGTTTCGCCTGCAGCTTCTATTTCCAGTTAAGGCAAGGCTATGCAGAAATCCAGAGGATACAAGATTCCAGATTTAAGCACTTCATACAAATCGGGGCCGCGCTCATATTACCCCTCCCTCCTAATTCAAAAATTTTGGGTGTACGCATCTTTGTTTTTTTGGACTATAGCTATGCTTATTAGCGTTGAATCGCCATGTCTCTAGTAGCATAGCAGTAGCAACCGCCCTAAGCAAAACTTCAGTTCTTGGGGACCTTTCCTGGTATTGTAGTTTTATAAAGCATCTATGGATTTAATATACGATCATAGGTGCAATAACTGAGTGCTGTCATTGTGGAGCTTCAAAATAAAATGACCAAGATTACCTATTGGTAATTCCCACTACAGATTAGAATAGCTTAGGCTGGTTTCTCCAAAAATCTCCAGCACCTTTTCCTGCGCGGTTATTGTGACTGGAACTCTTTTTCCCCTTTCACTTCTCGAGTGTCTGCCTAAGCTTTTATTTGTGCAAGCTGTAGTTAACAATATTTAAGAACAATTTTAAGGTGGTGGATTTGGTTGGCTCGTGCCATGTCCCGCCCGGGTATCTGATCGTGCCTCATCGCTTTAGCGCCATAGGAATCAGTTTGATGACTGCCGATCGCTCGTACTAGTGGTAATGGGGAAAGGACGGGTAGTTAGCTCCCGCTCGGCACACTACCACCACAACCAATTCGGACAATTGGTATCGACCTGTAGTCCTCCTGAAAGGTTGTCTCTCTACAAATACAGCTCTAATTTATACACTAACTTGCAAAAACGGCGCCCAGGTGCCATACTCTCTTCTTTTAATTTTCCGGGTCCTCTAGTCCATAATGGGTAGTATTGTCCTAGTAATTTACTATCAGATTGGTTTGATTGGTATTACTATAAAGTGCGTAACCAGTGGACTGGCGGTGTCAAGGATATCTACTTAGCTCACATGTATGGGATTGATTGTCTTAAGTTCTAAATCTACTTTACAAAGATTCCTTGGTGTTGTGGTCAGGTCACGTGGTTGCTGCCTTAGGCTCCCATAGGCTGTGACGTCTACTATTCAAGGTAGAAGACCCGTCAACTAGGTAAAGATACGAAGGCTAAAGGAGGAAAAGATCAAAGGCAGGTAGTAGATACTATTCAGACAGGAGACTGATCCTTGATCTCCTACTACTACTAACGATTCGCTAATTTATAGCCGAAGGATCTATGCCAAAAGGATTCAGAATTCCCGTTGAAAGCCAAACTGTAATACGGCCGGATGTTCCTCATCAGCGGCCGATTGTTCATGCACCTGGGTCAGGGTATCCTGTACGGTCATCAGGCCGAATTGGTATTCGATCTGTGACAGGTGGACCCACAAAAATTAAAGAAGAGAGTACGGCACTCGGGCGCCGTTCTTGCAAGTTAGTGTATGTGTCTCTGTTATATTATCTTATTCCCCTGTCATAATGCCTCGTGAAGTAAGATTCTTGCTTGTCGTGCAAGATTGTAGGTTCTACGAGAGCCTATCTCAGCCTAACTCCGCACCCCTCCTTCCCGTAGAGCCAGCAGTAATAGTCATAAATATTTCATATCTATCAATGTCCTACCGGTCGAACACCGAAGTTGTCGTCATCAATGCACCAGCGAGCGGAGGAGGTAGTATCTAGTAATAATAGATCGTTCCAGAGCGCGGATGCATTCGGATAAATAGATACCAATTCAATCAAACCTGCTCGGGTCTACTACTTCTGTCCGCATGCTGAGTTGTACAGCTTGGCTATTGTTTTACACGAGAGCATTCCCACATACTAACTTCCATTTAGGAGATAACATAATAATTATGAGCGACCAATACGACATCTGGATCGAAGATAAGCCTCATTCCGTGGAAGGTCACATTTTTTACGGTACACTCACCTTCAAAGGCAAGGTTGTTTGGGGACCCAAACATTGCCACAACAACACAACCCAACTGAAAACCGCTCTCCGCCAAGCTGATGACCGCCTTGACATGGAATTTATCTCAAAGCCCAATTCAGTCGAAGGACACACACGCTACATCAGCGTTAAGTCTAAAGGCAACGTTATTCTGAACAAACTCAGTACTCATGACAATATGGACGAGTTGGTTACCGTTGTTAAAACTATTTGGAATATTGACTCCCCTGCCTAGTTATTGAGGAAGAGAGGCACAGTTTTAGTTAGGGGTTAGTTTGAGAGGTCATTCAACGTCACTCACTTGGGCAGCCAGCCCTCAGAGATGATTTCAACAATTCATCATCTTATATTGGAACACCTTTTTGAGCCACAACAGATGTTGGAGGAATGACTAGGGTTGTCTATAGTTTATTAGGTAGCAGCAAGCTTTGAATTCGGTTGATATAGATTCAAGGGAAATCCTGTTCAATCCGTAAATATCGTGTGAATTCATTCTAATCGATCGATTTAATCGTTAATCATTGTCTTGTCTTCTCCTCTCTTGAAGCCTCTGGAGCGTCTTGGTGTAGGCATAAGACGTGCTGTTGAGTTACATCGGAGCGCATGGACCCCCGCTGCCTTTAGAGAAACATCCGCGGGACCTTCTTCGCTTCTAGAGGACGACATTTCAGAGAAAAGAGCTTAATGCAGAGAGGAACACTGATCATGATGACGAAAGGTAAGCAGCTGCCACGGTCACATTTTCAACTTTTGAGAGAGAGTTAGGGGAGGAGAGCGAGTGCGCACTGGAGTGGTAGGTAGACAGTTGCTGCAGTCAAGCTTTCTTAAGTTTTTAGGGGAATATGGGAGTGTGCCCGACTAGAATGGTAGGCAGTTGCCGCTGTCAAATAGCCAGATGTGCAGGGATCCGCATTCTGGTGTTGACCAGAGATATCCGACTTGGCTCTTGGCAGTAAAAGAATCTTTGTTCCACTTTACAGGGTATCAACACCTCTACTTTAGCTCGTGGTGCAGCTCGTGGCGTGGCTTTTGACCAATGCCTGCGGCCCTACATGTCAAACCTTACTACGCCGCTCTTATAGCTGCCAGGGACAAAAGTATATTTCAACCAAAAAAGCTTAAATTCACAGGTAAATGAAATTGTGATGTGTCATAGAGCAGTCATGTGAGCACCTATTAACCAATAATATACTGCTACACCCCTACTGCTCAACGGAAAAGCTGAACTGCTCAAGGAATGCCTGCAGTTCTTTGACATCACATTCCAGGGCTTCGCGCTTCTTGGTTCGTTTGTTAGCGCTACAAAGTGGGCCAAGGAGTTAGCGGGACACTGGGACTCCGTATTATGGCTTACCCAGAATCTAGAAGGGCTTGGGGAAGCCTATGACCACTACTATGACAAAATAGAAACTCACCCTTGTTCTTTCTCCGCGCCATGAGGACCATGTAAGCTCATGACAAATTCAATTATGTTGAGCAATTGCAGTATACATAACTGATTTATCCTCATTTTACGGGTAGCCTTCTTGGCTGGGGGTACCCTTTGTATAGTTGGTCAAGTACTCCGCCATTCGCTTGTTGAACACATGATATTAGCATTTGTCTAGTTCCGTGGAAGACAGGTACGTACAAATAGAGTGAGTAACTTGCTAGAAGGAACATGTCAATGTTCTAGTTATATCATAATACAAGGAGAGAGCCGAAAAGAAAACGAATGAGGAAAGAGGAAGTTGAGAAATAACAGGCATTTGTAGAAACCTACCGCCATACTAGCGCGCCATTGAGATACCGCGAGATAATCCACGTATCAGCAGAAACACTGGTCCACACTGACAGGAGCATATTAACATTCACGCGGAATACCTCCAGTTTATGCTTGCCCACATCAATAAGCTCTTGCCAGGCCAGTTGAATTTATTTAACCTATTCCTCGAGCGATGCTTTCTCCCGCTCTTTTGTGTGAATTTGGGACTCGGTTACTAGTCGAAGGATTTCAGCTCATACTTCCATACTCTGGAAGAATATATATAAGGGGAGGGAACTGACTGTTTTTGGCAATTGCAAGAGCCGCCATTGAAACAATGGCAGCGGCACCCACCCCAAGAGCGATAAGCCCACCAAACTATTAGAATTAGGTCAGACAACAAAAATCAAAATCTGATAAGTGGCATACCATTACAAAAGACCCGAGAATTCCACTACAGGCGGCTAACACCGTGAGTACTGGAAGAAAAGCCACTCCACCCAGTGTGAGGATAGAGATATTCAGTGACACTATCTTCTTACGCAGCTGCTCGAGCTCCTTAATAGCTTGGGCTATTTCCCGGTTCAGTTCCTCTTCCCTGTACTTTGCCCAGACTGGAAAGTCCGCAATGAAAGAAGTAAAGTTTATCTGGAGGTTGTTAAATTTTCCCTCCATGGCTCAGGCATCATTGTGAGCTATCCATGTACTATACATCCATAAGTTATAGCAGGACCACTAGCGTGTTTCACTGGTTGTGAGAAGAAAAAAGGATGTACAGAAATAAACCGGTTAAGGACATGATATCAACCATCCACTGAAAGATCTTTATTAAAGCAGAAGGGGATTATCAAGTCATTAAATCCTAGCTAAAGTAAGCTAGAAAGCTTCGTATAAGACCAGTGATATGGAACATGTATGATTACCATAGACTACAATTTAGCTCGCAAGGTTCCTACTGTCTGTAAGTGCCTCTCAATATACCTGGCTAATGTTAGCATTGTTCAGGACAACAGACTGGGACCTCAACCACCAACCAACTGGTTCCTAATCAAGGTCGGCCCAAAATCAGAACGATAGATTCGATCAATCTGCGCGATTTTGAGATACAAGCTAACAAAAATTTATTCGATTTTGTTAGACACATCGACAGCCGCATTCGACACTTCCTTAAGATGCTCAGCGTATTCAGGAGACACCAGGCCTTTCGCCGCGCCCGTGCAAAAGACTTTATTATCTTCCTTATTCTTGATCAGATCACTAAAATCTTCATTGTCCATCAAAATATTGATTTCATTGTCGGCTAGCTTTGCTGCGGCATCGATGTGCTTCTGGGGAGTCGGGTCAGACCCGACCATTTGGCAAACCTTGTCAACGAGGTCATTGTAGGATGGAGGAGAGCTGTTTGGCTCGTATGCTGGGGGGCAGTGGAAGAAACAGTAGTGATCATTTTTGGTTATTTTGTGCGTTTTCCTACCAAACATTTGTGAGGAATAACCTGTTGTTCCCTTGGAAGATGAAATTTATATGTACTAGATCAAGGATACATAAGCTATTAATGATGACACATGCTACAATATACAAAATCATGCATCATGACTGCATTGCGCGGTCCCTGTCAACATTAGGGCTGGCTGAATGACGAGACCATCTCCAGTTGCAGAGGCATATCCACAGCGCCTCGAGGCAGAGTTTACAGAACGGTACTTTTGCCACTTTACGCCAAGGAAGAAATTTGCATCTTTAACTTAAAATCACGCTCCAAATGTATTAAATCACTGCAGTTTTCACTCCAGATAGCTACTCAACCATTACGCGGATTCCTTTTCCCTTTTTGACAGGTTGGATAAGGTCTTTCTTCCATTTCTCGCTATGAATATTAAGCCGAAAAACCCAGCGATGCCGATGACCTGAGCCGAGCTCAACCGAGCAATTATCAGACCATATAATCATAGCCCAATCAGCCTCAGTATAGCTTTTATAGCGTAGAGCCCAGTCAAGACGCTTTTTAGCTACCTCATCAGTCAATGAGGGCGTTTTTGAACTTTCCATTTACCATATGCAGACTCATGAATAATATCATACAGTGTACGGTGAGATACTGAGATAGGAAGCTTATTTTGAACCTGCGCATGGGACTGGAAAGGATCCCGCTCGGTAAAATGAATAATTAAGTATTTATCTCGCTCAGTATAGTGTCTTGGATGGCCTGATCGTGGTTGGGATTGATAATCATCTTGTAAAGTACCTCGGTCGGGGGAAGAATAGATAGTTGAAATAGGCCTATCTAGAGCCTCTGCAATTTTAGGGCCACTAGCTTCACCAAAACAAGCCCCCGTAAAAAGCTCGCTCTGATGGCTTCAGCTCAGCATTACGCCTAATATTAGAGCTTAAGGTGTATATAAATGTAACTTAACTTCTGCATATACTTGCTAGGGGCTACATGCGGCCGTCGGTCGCGAAAAGCCTAAGGAATACTACTACTGCTACGACTTTTGTTGTGACTGACTACCTCGTGATTCTATATAGACATGCTTGATGCAGGAGTAAAATGGGATTTAAGAAGTATATTTAGTAAACAGTATGACCCCTATGGATATTAACCATGCGTTAAAGGTGTGTGAAATAGACGCTATTTTTAAATTAGCACGCAGTGTGTGATGACTGCTCATTCATAGATAGCTATTCCACAGTATAAAGCTAGATATGGTAGCGTTTCCAACTGAATTCAACTATGGGGGGAGAAACACTATCATACAAGGATTTGTGTTGTGGGAAGTAGGCCTGCCTAACCACGTGACGTACAGGTCATCACACAGTGTATATAATTTCTCTTTACCTGCCAGTATACTTACACTTTACATGCTGGAAATTCAAGACTAAGTTAATTATAAGAGTTAATCTCTCTATTGCCCAGTATTATTATGCAGACTATAACAGTGTCAGATCAATTAACTTCTCATAAATCCTGACCTCCTATTGCGAGTGAGATTCTCCTGGATGCTATTATAAGAAGATAGTTTCTAAGAGACAGTTCTGCAGCTGGTTATGTCTGCATATAAGATGGTTTGCTATACTCTTTATAGAGTGTCGGAATGATCACAGCAGCATTTATATATCCTGTTAAAACTTTGTACTGATATTGCGAAAGTTCTATCTGAGTAGGCACTGCTTGGGTAATCTTGTTTAGTAATAAGTTATTTATATTCTTTCGGTTATTCAGAGTGCTAGTGAAGGACTTTAAATCTAGGTAATCAGGCCTTTAATACTTTGGTGTATAGCTTAGAGTACTTTATTATTAGAGTAGAGATATCCTGAAGCTTCCCTTGGGATTTCCGGGTATAGGGAAGGATTGCTATAATTATAAGAGTATCAGAATATTCAGTCTCTAATACTGTCTTTCTTGTTTCTATTACGTATATGAAATTCTTATCAGCTTCGCTCTATTGTTCCTGATTCCAGTAGATTTCAGCCAGTTTGCCATGCTTCTTAGTGTCAGAATATTCTTTCTCTAATACTGTCTTGTATATGTTTAATACTTGTACAAGGAGCTTCTCAGCTTCATTCCATTGTCCCTGATTCTAATAGGTTGATGCCAGGTTTACCACACTGCTCAGAGTGTCAGGATGTTCGGCTCCAAGAACTGTCTTGGATATCTCCATTACTTGCACCTCGAGCTTCTCAGCTTCGCTCCATCGCCCCTAATTCCAATAGGTTCCAGTCAAGTCCCCCATGCTTCTCAGTGTAGATGGATGTTGATGTGTAGTCAATAGCCTATATTTGCAGTCCTCCTATACTGAAGACCAATATCAAGCTCCTTCCCCGAGCTCTTTACAGTAATCGAAAGCACATACAGTATACCAACCTGGAACCTTTCCGATTACACATTCCTCTAGAAGTCTAAACTTCCCTAGATTAAGCGGGACCTGGCGTGTACAGTATCTTTGATCAGACTACGCTAGATATAGTCCCATTTTCCCAACAACCAAATGATCATCTATGTGATGATCCTATACACATTGGAAAAAAAATATCGTTTGTATCTAACGTGGAGATCTAAAGAAACATCAAACGTAGAGAAGGAAGAGAGAAAGAAAGAAAGAATTCTATCATACAGGAACTGTGTGATTATGTGTTGTAGGATCGGCTCAACAGTGTATAAAGTAGACATGGTGCCTCAGGCAGGATTCGGCCTAGACCCTGACACTAGTGGTGATCGATTTACCTTTCCTTTCCTTCTTCAGTTTAGTCTTCTAGTATGAACCTGCGAATACGATACTGTAGTGCCTATCCACCATCTTGTGATCTGTAGAAGAGCATGGCTGGGCTCGTGGACGGTGATGTTCTATTGGCCGGAACCCAGAAATAGAACTAAACGATGTTAACTCTGAACAGAGACATAGTCTGCCCACTACGGCAGTACCCGATGTTTATCGGAGAAGCCGATAGGGCATATCCGGAAGCCGATGGGTGGTCGGAACCGCCACTGATACTCAGGGCTCGACAATCCTCGATCTGAACTATGGGATATTCGATAGTGATACGCTAAATGCATCCGTTCATAAATGTAGGTCTAACAAGAATATAATTAGGAAATCAAAATACCTGCGCTGGGTTTGGGTGCTATGAAAAGTAAGTGGCCACCATCCTGAACCAGTGGTCTCACTCCTCAATCATGAAGGTTGATAGTATGCTATGGAAAGCTTAGATTATTATTCCCGAAGATATTATTGAAATATATAAGATAATATTTATTCCAAAACCGATACACAGAGCAACACATGCACCTTCCTTACTTCATCCTGCTAGCAATATCCTTGACTACATAAATTTGTCCATAAAGGTCTGTCACATCCACAAATAACCGCCAAAGGCCCATCGGGTCTGTCTTGTGGCCACACGTTGCAGCTTTACTCGCTGTGTTCTCAAAGGCGTCTACCAGATGAGCAAAAGCAGACTCAACGCCCTTACGCTCATACTCAGCAAGTCTAAATAAGGCGGCTTTTGCCACGCCTCCTTCGCATGCTGCGTTTAGATCTGCATTTGCAAATTCGCTGAAATCGACTGAATTCAGATTACCCTCATCTCGGTCGCGCTGGATGGACCCGTAGTCGTTGTACATTCGACACATAGTAGAGAGATGACGGCACAGGTCCGTGGCAAGGTATTTTTGCTCCGCAGTCTGCCATATTGCGGGCCGCTTGGTGTTGCTGTATGGAGGGGTAGTTGTTGTTGGCGATGGATTGCTCGGGGGAAGACAGGATGTGAACGAAATCAGACATCCAGCAAAGGCAAAAGCGTAAGGACATCCCGTATGATCAGCTGAGGTAGTATGCACCCAGCGATAAAATTCACTCTCTGGGTAGTCGAACAATTGGCTGGCAGTACCCTTTGCCAAGCGGTGATTATCGGTGGCCTGGGTAATATGCGCATACAAGAACTGTTTCAACTCCTGACGCAGAGTATACACATCACGGTCATTGGCTTGTTGGATGGCTTCATGGTGCAAGATATATCGGATGTAATGTTTGAGGGGCCGGCGCACTTTATCATACACGGTAGGGGAGACTAATTGGCCATTTGAGATTTGAAGAGCAGCTGTCTGAGAGGTGTTTGCAGTGCTGCCAAATTTGTAATCGGAGAAAAGCTCATCGATCAAGTCTTTAAGATCCTTAAAGTGAGGTTGCAAAGCCGGCCCCGCGACAGATTCCATGAACTCATCTACCTGGAAACCTAGAACAGACAGGATCATCATATCAAACATGAATGTGCACGAAGCCGGGGTGCCCGCCCGATTGTTGTAAGCTGTCCAGGTAAGAGGGATCATGGAGAAATATTTGTCTTCCTTCATGTTATCGCGAGTGAAAATTTCATGGCGCCGTTGACGTAGCAAAGGTTCAAAGAGGGAGGCTTCTATACCCGATCCACCTATCTGCCATTCTGGTATTTGTGCAAAAAGAGGCGTCTGTTGGATCACCTTGGTATATTTTTTTCATAATTGGTGCATCGTACAGTATCCTGACTGTGCAGCCAATAAGACCAAGACGATTACAGCGTACTGTGGCATTACAGGCCCGGAGAGCTGCCAAGTAGTAGGCTTTGGATAGCAGGGGAGACATGTATGTCACTTTTTCTATCCATAGATAAGTGGGACCGCTATCGTCAACCGACTGAAGATATCCTCGGACCAAGTCAATAGCATAATCGATCCGAGGTCGAAGAGGTTGCACAAAGCAAATTCTTCGGGCATAATGGAGGATCAATCCAGCGTAAGAACTGGCCTCACGGGAGGAGTTCCAGGATCCATCCAATCCTTGTTGCATTAGAGTCCGGAAGCAACCCTGGAACAAAGACATAGATACCCGAGCAATGGTTTGATCTCCAAGCGCATCTATCAATACAACCTCTTCATTAATTAGCTTAAGAAGCCGGGAAAACGCTTCTACCATCAACATTGTGGGATACAGGTGGCAAAGATTCTGGATGAATTAGACACAACGACATCGCGATAGACTGTAAAAGTGGTAGAGGACTATAGACGCCCCTAATGTTTGGATCCAGGCCACCCCAGAGTGTTTGAATTCAGTGAAGTCACTCGTAGGCGCCATCCACAATATTTCTTTGATGTAAGTTCTCATTTGCGCGTAACGTCTTTTTATCTTTCCTTCTTACCTGTTTCTTCCCGCTAATCTCGAGGCCCATGCTTCTATTTACATTTGATTATTCTCGATGATGTTCAAGATAATTCTCCACTGCGACGATCTCAGCCTGCGGCACACACCATCTTCGGTGTAGGCCAGACGGTGAACTCGGGGTATAAGATTGTTGATGTAATTTCGCAGGCGGCAAGACTCCCAGCCGCTTCCGAGATCGTACCATTTGTTCTCGAGGGAATGGCGGAGCTGATGCGTGGACAGGGTTTGGATCTCCTGTGGACTCACCAGGTGCTTACACCATCCACTGGGGATTATATCCGGATGATAGACAGCAGTAAGTGCTCTTCTCCCTTTTCTGGCTGCTTCTTTTGCCACCATGTAAACGGCATTGAATAATAGTCTGCTTACAATTTTTGTCTTCTTTTTGTTATAGAGACTGGGGGTTTGTTTCGCATGATCCCGCAGCTCATGATAGCTACCAGTAGCAGTAGTGATGGCATCTCTGGCGTGATATCGCCATTAGAACGTTTCATGACACTTCTGGGCAGATATTTCCAAATTCGTGACGACTATGCTAATCTTGCCTCGGACAAGTACAGCATCTCTAAAGGGTTTTGTGAGGATCTAGACGAGGGAAAATGCAGCTTTGTCTTACATCACGCCCTCAACCACAGCAGCCCGAGCGCAAGGGAGATACTCCGACACATGACGTTCCAGCGACGAGCTGCAGGCCACGCCGAGCGGGCCCAAAAGGAATTGATGCTGCGGCTTATGAAAGAGGCAGGCTCGTTGAACCACACAAGATCCTGGTCGAATTGGACAAAATCGAGGCTCACACGGGGACTCCGAACCTGCTGCTGCGGCAGCTAATTAATGCTCTTGCGGTATAAAGCTGTCTTACTGGGTGGGTCACACCCTAGTATGTGTATACTACTAGTTAGTAGTAGTGGGTATATTAAAAAGAAAATGTGAGGCGCAAATGACTTATCCAAAAACTAAGGAATATTAATTGATCGTTCCGGCGTAGTACCCCGGCTAAAAGTAGCTTTTAGATTTACAAGTCTCGCCTGTCAGCGTTATAGTGATAGAGGATCTACCTAGGCGGGGGTATTAGCTGCGACTGGGTTAGAAAATTGGTCACACTAGTCGGTAAACGCAGCTCTGAGTCTCTGACAGTCTGACAGCCTTAGAAAAATCCATCTGACTTTTAAGAAATTTGAACTAAGCATAGCCCTAGATAATCTACACTTAGAAATTCTTAAAAGAATAAATATCAAAAATGACTTTGAATTTAGACGGTTTCTCTTAATACTTTTTTTAAAGAATTTTTATAGTATTCCGATAGAATCAAAAGGCTGTGAGCCACTGACTCACCCGGAATTAACTTAGAATGATTATCAGCGTGGATTTTCATGAGGTTCAAACCAACTACCAGGTTGGCTAAATACAGTAGTGTCTACTCGTTAACTGTGCTAAATCTATTTCGGCCAGGTGGCAGGCAACCCGCGAGTAACCCGGATATTCTTCGCCGACCTGTTGATTGGCTTGAAATCTCATGAAAATCCACCCCCGACCCTCCCCAACAGCTATTCTATACTATGCAGTATGTTGCCCACAAGTACTTAAGGAATAAAACGCCTTTCTAACGGTACCTGCGGTATTACCACATGGAGTGCGGTGCATCGCACTGCCCACCGACCAAACAAGAAGGTGTGGAGCCTCCGGTTAACCGAGACGTTACCTAGTGAGTACCAGTATAGTACGCAGCGGAAGCAGGGCTCTTGGGGTGTTTATATGGCATCAGTGACTTCGGCGCACCTCATTACCGTTGGGTGAGTGTAACAGAGTATGTGTATGTAATAGAACCTTCTATACGGAGTACTTATACTAGTAATCTCGGAGCGCCCGTATCAGTTTAGCGCAGTAGCGATTTGGACCAATGCCTAGAGTACAGGGGGGGCACCAAGAATTTAGGAGTTACAACTACATAAGTGTACGGAACTAGAACGAAATTTCTGAGTCATGACCAATAGTCACTGTAGTAGATTTTCGCTACAGTACTGATCCGCGCACACATCAACGGATGGAGATGCTAAGCTGTAAGTACCTACACGGATCGCAACCCTTGTTTACCCATCAGGTATCAACGAATTACCATTTCTGTGAGTACGAAAACCTTGCTGTCTCCCTGCAATAACATATCCTCTACTATAATAATCCGCCTGGGAAGAAGCCAAAAAGTCCAAGGCTATCTCCACCCACCTTCCGCTCTCCCCGCCCAACAATGGCGTCTGTTATCGGTGTAAAAATAGTTAATCTGGGCCTTTCCCGGTGGCCAATGAATGCCCTATGATTGGATCATATACCCTTGTTAGGTTGCCGCATCATATCCCTGTTCTTGGTTGGCCCAACTGAATTCCCTTGTCGTGATCACCGGAATCAACACAGTAAGTCAACTAAGCCGACTAGGTAGGATAGCAATGAACGAACCTGCGGCAACGAAGGGCAAGGGATACATAGATAAATACAGGTAAAGGGAAGTATAAGACATGAAACTGGTGTTCTTTGCTCGTTGAATAAATAATTTTGCATGATGTTCGCAACAATGAAAGTGGGAGCCTCACCGAGCGGTCCCTCCCGGGTGATTAATTCCACTCATGGGTCTTTTGATCGGAAGCAACAAGCAAAATTGGCCCGGGTGGCCTGTATCCATTGCCGCATGAAAAAGGTGTCACCCCCTTTTCTTTCCCCCCTCTCAGTATCACTTCTCCCCCAATCAGCAATTGCTTCGTCAAGTCATCGCTCCTTTCAACTCGCGTGCCGCTGACGCGATGCCTGACATATTGTCTGGCTCCTCAGTTGAAAATGTACGGGCGACTCGCGAGGTTGTGAGAGATGTCGGACCAAAGGCATCCCTTGCACATACCTGAAGCCTAGCAACCCTCGACCAACTTCTTCATCGAGTCTACTTCATGCACAATCAGGAGCAAGATCCTCATCTACATCAACATCGACATCTCAGCAATGGAAGTCCCCACAAGTGGAGCAGCACCAGCAGTATCAGGAATTGCTAGATACCATTTGACGGGCGTCGCGTATAACGTGAACCGAGCAATATAGACGGTGATTTGCTTGGGGAGCCCGGATGGACCTCTTCACAAAATCAGGAGAGTAATCCGGTGGACGACGTGGCTCGTCTTTGGACTGATGATGTATCGTTTCCATTGTGCTTGGACGAGATGAACGTTCAATCCCCTGCAATTGGCTTGAGGCTCTCAGGTACTCCCACCATTTTCCCTGCCTTTCTCTCTACCTCTCTTTTCCTTCCCTTCCTCCCCTTGTAAATAGATGTAACTGACGACTCTCTTCGAAAGAACTCTTAGCTATGAAGCCTCCGACATCTCCAGAGCTCTGTGACCTGAGAGACACCCCTAGCCATGATAATTCAAAAGGCCCAGAGATTCAGCCACAGAAACAAGCATACTCCAGCCTGCATTCCATCAACTTTAACATCGAACAAAACAAGACCACATGTGACAGTGCCACCAAGACACTCCTACCATTTGAAACCGTCCATACAGATTGCTATAATGAAAATCAGCCACATGCAATCTTACAGTCGCAGAAAGAGGCCATATCAATATGCACAAGGCTACTCAACTGCAAGGGTTGTAGTCGACGCTCCGAGCTCATTAAGCTGGTCATGGCGATATGTCGTGCCCTGTTACGTGGCGTAGAAAGTTTGTTTCCCCATTGTAGCTATGAGGTGCGTCAAGATTACCGGACCCCGCCGAATAGGGCCCATACTATTCTGGAAACATTCGGATTGGGACCTGGAGATTGGACAATGAAGACGAATTTGAGGCAATTCGTAGTTTGTTGACCACTCAAATGTCCCGCCTCGGTACGCTAATCCACCAGGTCAAATGTGTCGTTCATATTAACAACTGGCTCGGTCACCAGAAGATTGTACATGAGATTGTGGGCCACTTTAGGCTAGCTACATCTATGGTAGAAAGGACACTGTTAAGAATTTAATGATTTCTCCTTCCTGAACGGTGGTTTATGTATTAGTAAGACTACTTCTGTACTACAGCCATGCAGGCCAGCGTGTAGCGTGTATGCATTCTCCCCGATGCATGGAAATCACATGACGGATAAATTTAAGATAAGGGGCTATGGGCTATTTTTTTTCCCTTTTTCTCTCACTTCTCTATACTTCTGCGTGCCCTCCCCACCCCTGAATTCTTCCCCCTTTGCAACATACATCTGGACAAGTGGACTTCTACTACTGGAATACTATAAAGAAAACCCTACAGCATGGATACAGCTCCATCCTCACTCTCAATGCCCACTATCGGCCGGCCATTTGGCATCTCCTTATGGCCCTATTTTAATAAGGTCTTTGAAGCTTTCGCAGGTTATCCCGCTGATGAATTTCGCTTTCTGGAGGGACAGACACCAATGTCGACTTTAAAAGAAACAGCGGCATTTATCTTGATTTATTACGTGGTTATCCTGTATGGACGGAGATTCATGCGTGATCGGGAGCCGTTCAAGTTGAAGACATTGTTTCTGATTCATAATTTCTACCTAACTATGTTCAGTGCGATTTTGCTTGCACTTTTCATCGAGCAATTGTCTCCTATTCTGCTTCGTGATGGCCTTTTCTATGCGATTTGCAACCCTAATGGTGGTTGGACACAGCCTTTGGTTACGCTGTACTATGTATGTACATCTTACCGACTGAGTGAACGTAGATAGCTGACAGTCGCAGCTTAACTATTTGACCAAATATTTAGAACTTTTGGATACTGTCTTTCTTTTCCTTAAAAAGAAACCACTGAGTGAGTTAGAAATATATCTTTCTTTGGGTATTCTACTGACGGGTCAGCTTTCCTTCACTGTTATCATCACGGAGCAACCGCGTTCCTCTGCTACACTCAACTCCTGGGGAACACTGCGGTCTCATGGGTGCCCATTACGCTCAATCTGACGGTTCATGTTGTGATGTACTGGTATTACTTCCAGTCGGCCCGGGGCATTCGGGTCTGGTGGAAAGAGTGGGTGACTCGTCTTCAAATTGTACAGTTTATTCTTGGTTTAGGTATGTTATTCCCCCAAAGCCGCATAGCCCTGTGGACTTTACGATACTGACCGATTAGTGTTCATCTATTTCGCCTCATACACTTACTTTATCTCCACATACTTCCCATGGCTACCAAACTGGGGCTCGTGTGCTGGTGAGGAATTTGCCGCGTTTGCCGGAATTGCATCCATCAGTTCATATTTGGTACTTTTCATCTTATTTTATGTCGCTACGTACAAGAAGGATGGCCGAGCTCCTACTGCTCGCAAAGCTGTACGACGCATGTCGCAGGCCCCCATTCCCGACCCTCATCTTGCCGAGGGACACGGCAGACCCACTGGGACTACGAGGATCGAGGCAAAATATCGAGCGAAGGTGTGACTTGGATGTTTCCTATGGTATTATGCTTTTATCATGCTAGATGAAAGGATGTTGGAGTAGTGTTATATATTAGCAGCAGCTAAGAAAGTGAATAAAACCCTAATCATGGTGGTTATTATCTGGAGCCTTAACCGTTTTGTGGTGCTCTAAATACAGCTACGGAGATCTCTGACCTGGTGTAGGTCAAATTTCGTCCAAGTTACCTTCCCTGATGAAGGGTAATGGTTCAACCAATGGAATTGGTTGATTCAACTAAACCTGACTTTGTTATGATCTCAGGGGAAAGATGGGCAGAATGAAGCTGTATCAGCTACACGTACATAGCCTACTGAGGACCGGATGCCATTTCGATGGATACTCAATTCTATAGACGACTCTATCGACTATCTCAACCGCTTGCTTATCTCTAACTAATGGGTAAAGCCTTCAGGGGTTGGAGTCGGTGATCCGGCCAAGCCAGGACCATGTGGTCTCGTATAGATTCATATCAGAACTTGACATAGAGGTGCCCGGTATTCTAGTCACCACCTAGGGAAGGTGTGGGGCGCTCCTACCACGCGTGATACGCTAACCCGCTCCGCAGTTAACATTGATAATGGAATTAGTGCCTCAGGTATACAATATGTACTATTGGCAGAACTTGGGAACGTCCCTGTACCCCACTTACAGGGCACGAGCTCTCCACAGGCTCACCAGTAGGACAGAGTATTGGACCACAGCCGCCTTTGTCGTCATAAGTAGATCAAATTTTTTCTGCTTCCAGAAAAGAATCATCTAGCGCCGGCGATCAGACAGTGCCAGGTAACAGTCTCAACAGCGGAATCAACGAGGGTTTGCTTTGCTTGTAACTGAAAATGTTTTGAGAACTGCAGAGAGTGTGACGCAGGTGTGCCCATAACAATCCGGCTAAGGCATAATGGCCATATTATCTTTTTTAGATGGTGGCTAGCATCTTTCACAGGAGAAGTTGGTAAATGCTTCCTTCAGCCTGCGAGACAATACCAATCTAACTGACTAGGCTTTGAACTATACGAAGTCTGAGCAGGTGCTACTGTGGCTGCTGAATTTAATTCTTAAAATTCTCACGAAAGGCTACAAAAAGAAAAGAGCTCCAAGTTAGCCTAAGTGCTGGTACTTAAGCAACTGATGACATTCTGTGATGTGCAGAGTACCAGCTGTGTCAGATAAACAATGTCTGGTTCTGATAGCTAGACATGGGGACTGATACACCGTCCGAGGCGGTAATGTAGGTCTTAGTTGGATCGGTCATCAAAAGTCAGGTTTAATTGCGGCAATCTAGCGAAAATCACCCTATTTCATATCTCCGGTATCACCCTGTATTTAGTTAATCGTGACGAGAATACTGGGACTGGACACATTCATCTACAGAGGATATTGTCTAGTACGGCGGAAACCGAAATTTCCATTAGCCAAGTCATTGAACCCTGGTACCTACTAACATAGAGGCATCGATCCACCGCGGCCCCGAAGAGGGTCGCAATGTAAGTGCTCACCTGAATCTGAGTAAGCTAAGGGGTTCATATACCCCTGAAGTGTGTGGCTCCTACACTTTTCTTCGTCATGGCCGTCTGATGTCCGCCATCATACTCTCTCTCACCTGCCATTCATCGACAACAGCAGATTGCAAAATGGCGCACACATCTATACTCTTGGCAAGATGGGGTACATCTCATGGCTGACTTTGCGGGGGTTGACAGCTAGCGAAAATCTCAATCTTCTACCCTTGGCAGATGCAGATGAATTGCTTGAATTGTTGTTTCGCTTGATCGTGGTACTACTTGGGCGTTGGTTCTGCTGTGGTGCTGCAATTGAGGAGTGTTTGTAGCTAATCGAAACCTCTGAGGGCGCTGAGCATTGGTAATAGGTAAAACAAAAGATTCTTGCCTAAGAGGAGATAGGAATTTAATTGAAGCCTAATGTTGTAGAAGAAGATACTTTGATCTCTGATAATGCCGATCTTGGTGCTGACGCTCATCAAGCTGAGACTGGTTATGATTTTGGAGTGAGACAGTGCTGCTTCTAATCAAGGCCGATTCGGGCTAGGCAGTATAACTCATATTCGTTAAATTCGAGGACCGATTATTACATGTATTGTAGAGAGAATATAATTTCGTCGGTAAAGGAGAGATGTGGAAAATCGAGACGCTCTCCGAGCTTTTCATGGAGTATTCCGTAAGAATGGGGAGGCTTTGTAGACTAAGAATTATTTGCCTGTTGCTCATTACCATTTAACCTTGCCGTGCAAGGCTGAGCTCCATAGTTGCAGCCTTATGTGAGACTGGCAACCAAAATACGTTTTACTCTCTGCAAAGCAGTACTTCCGCGGCTGCCGAGGCTTAGAAAGCTAGCTAGGACAGCAAGACCAAGGCATTTACTGATTGGGGTTGAGATCAAGAGACAAAATGACTGGTCCGGAACTGGTCGGAAAACAGTATCTAAGATTTTGGCAGTCACCAAATACTACCAATCGCCAGTGTGCTGGGGGTGAGAGATATATTCGTTCCACTTCATGCGTCATTCGATTTACCTGAACTGGCTACTGCGGCGTTACCTTCACCTTCCCAGTATCCCATGAGGAGGAACCAATGGGACAAGAATATCCTCTTGTATGAGAATGCATTCAGGCGCGTGAAGTGGAGTTATGCCCTGAGGGCAAGGTTTTGAGTATGGGGCGAGAGGTACGGTATTTCATTGGCTTTCTACTCCATCACAAACTTCATGGATCATTGGCCTAGTGCTCATCTCATATAGTGCTGCCCCACTCATGAGGACCTAGCGTCGGCAGGCTTACCATCAGAAGAGAAGGTCACTGGACTGCAGTCCCCCTTCTCTACCTCTAAAGGGGGCTACTGACTAGAACAACAAACGAATCACATCTTAAGCGGCTCTCCTCTTGTTAGCGCTGTCATATCTTGGCATGTCAGCCTTATGTTTCATTGAGAGTAGACGACTTGGTGTATGTGGTGTGGCATCTTAGTATTCATAGCATAATAGAAGGTGATACGAAATATGTAGGCAGTTATTCCTTTTCCACCCCCCTCTGCTATGTCTTCGATATTAGAACTGGCACCTGGCTCTTGGATAACAGATATTAGTAGTTCCTCGATAGTCATTTGATTGGCATCAACACCGTAAGTTTTACACAAGCTCTGACAGCGTAGGCTGTGAGTATCCCTCGCTTCGCCTGTTCTAGCCCCTCTGTCCTTGAGTGTGGCAATTTAGTATGGCATGCATGCCGATGAATTGACGTTGTCTGACTCTGCAAACGAGACTGAAGTAGCCAGGTCAGTGCTCAAAATTGCAATATCTATCCTGTATCTGTCACCTCTCCTATACGCTATTTAGCAAGTGTCAGACTTTCCCCTTAAAGCTGACATTTCCAAGTTACAAAAAGAAAGCCTGTTACGCCAGGAGAGTGCCTGAGATCCGGCCTATACAGCTTCAAAGCTGGACTTTTTGCACATCTAATCTTAAGAAGATGGCACATCTTTGGTCGCCAATAGAAGTGCTCATAAATGGTAACATGTCTTGTATAATATCCCATTTTTGCTTTGGTTTGCTAATATATTCGCAGTGCCATCTAATATCCTATTTGAATATTCCGACAAGGTTCATTCCAAAGACATCCGTTTACTAAAGTTCAATGGCGGTCACTGTGAGGACGTAATTAGTTTATCTCTCAGTACTTTTCCGCTTGATTCTGCTCCTGAGTATATCGCTCTTTCATACACATGGGATGACCCACAACGGTCAGATACAGTTGCTTGTGACGGTAGAAGGCTATATGTCACGCGAAATCTCAAAGAAGCTCTTGAACATTTGAAACAAATATTTGGAGGATCACATGGGGCACAGAATGAATATAGTGGGACGCCCTACTTTTGGATTGATGCAATTTGCATCAACCAAAGTGATGATGACGAGAAGAGCCACCAAGTTTCATTAATGTGGGACATTTATCACCGTGCAGAATTAGTCATAGCATGGCTTGGAAAAGAGACTGAAGGCTTCAGACGTGGCCTGGAAATTTTACAAGGCTTGGAGATTCCTTCGGCATCCTAACTTAAAGAAGCCAATGGCAGAAGAAGCGACAGCCCAAAACAGCAAAAGATCCGGTTGTCAGAACTGACCATGGCTGGCTTACCAGAGATCGCCTCTCCAGCGTGGGATGATTTCTTTTCAGTTCTTTCACGAGAGTGGTTTAGCCGTGTCTGGATAATACAAGAATTCGTTGCCGCAAGGTCGTTCGTCTTCCTTTGTGGTGGCACTTTGATCGATTCAAGCACGATTCTTCGTATTGGAAAGATGGTCGAGGAAAACAATGTACTTTCCTCTCTTCGTAATTTCGATCGAAGCAGGATCTTCGCTGTCAATGTTAACTGTCTGAACTGCTTGAGGCTTAAGAGAAATCAAAGCTTCAACAAATTGTTGTGGTCTACATCTCTGTTCAGAGCCAATGACCCGCGAGACAAGATAATATCTCTTGTACATTTGGCAACCGATCTCCGACAAACGTTCGTCCCAGAGCTGATTGACTATCGAGTGAATATTAATGAATATCTCGTGCGATACGCTAAGGTACAGATTTCCCATGACTCACTTGATATTGTATGCTATGCGCAGGCTTTTGGAGACCTCTACAGTCTGCCATCCTGGGTACCATACTGGACTTCCGGAGGATATTGTTATACCCCCCTCGTCGAGTCATGGGCGGATTCTGCTCAAATGCAGAACGTCAAACCAAGTCATCCGTGCTATGAACTTGGACCAAACAATGCAAGTGAACAAATGGCTCCGAAATCACACTTTTCATATAAAGCCACATCTGATACATTATATAGGACCTTGTATTGAAAGGGAAAATATTTGACAAAATTGAGAAGATCATCAGAGCTCCTCGTATGTAGGTGTATGATGAGTATCTCAAAGATCTAAGTGGAGCTCCGGATGACAGTCGCTTCGCCTTGATGAAACTGATTTTGTCAGAAAAGGCAAACGATACACGAAGTCTTCTAGATTTTCACACTCAATGTTACGCAGAGGTCAAAAGGCTTTTTCAATACCCAACAGGGGAACA